CCCCCCCCCCATCTCTCTTTCTGTGTCTCCCTCGCACACAAACTGCCCCGTCATAGTATCGATGAGATCCCCGTGTTTCCCATTCCACCGTGTACGTGTTTGCTCGCAGGCACTGCACGCACGTGCGGTTCCGCACGCCCCCATAGTATAACGAGTAAAGTAATACTACCGCATCAAATAAGTACTGTTTGCTCGTATGTGAAGCCATAGATTTCTTCTCTTACGCAGTCTGAGATGAGAGCAGCGCTCTCCTCGTGTTCTCCAATGTGACCCTCTCGGATGGGCGCACTCTCGGCCGACGGTCCTGTTATCCCCAGTCCTTTGATCTAATCGTAAGTCCTCAGAAAGAGGAATGCCGGAAGACACCTACTCAAACAAACTGACAAACAATCTGAAAGATGAACTTCTTGTGGGCGATACTCTAGTTATTCGGCACATTAACTAGATTTTTTTTCTTGTTTTTAAAAATATGTATTATTATAGTCTTGACCAGGTGGGTTTTGGTCACGAAGTGGTTTTGGTTCTAAGAAATACGGTGTGCGTGCGTGTGTGTATGTGTGTGCGTGCGTATGTGTGTGCGTGCGTGCGTGCGTGTGTGTGTGTGTGTGTGTGTGTGTGTGTGTGTGTGTTTCTCCCGTATAATACCTCTCATCTTAGGTACTTACGTGTTCTAATAGTGTTGCAAGTACCGTAAAACTCTTACTGCCTTTAGACCATACTACGCGCTAAATACTGCGTACCCCATTCAAAGATTGTAGTCTAGTAGAGAATATTTCTCTCTCTCTCTCTCTCTCTCTCTCTCTCTCTCTCTCTCTCTCTCTCTCTCTCTCTCTCTCTCTCTCTCTCTCCCCTCCTTCTCTCTCTCTCTCTCTCTCTCTCTCTCTCTCTCTCCCCTTCATTCTCCCCACCCCCATCCACTGCCCACTGTCCGTCCGCGTACTGTTGCCTCTCGGACAAACACAGGGCATGACAACAATGCGTGTAGTGTATGACCGTGGTACGTACGTGCCGCCCGACACTCGGCAGTCTGCCGGGAGGACACGGGAGGTGACTCCTCAAGTCCTCTGTTGTGTCCGTCTTGCGCTGTCCGGACTCGGGTTCTTGCATCATCTAGACATACATAGTTACATACTGCTTTTTCGCTGGCCCGGAACCGACGCAACCGAACAGTTCAGTTGGCCTCTTGGGAGAAGGGTCTCTTGCGTACTTTTAGGAAAGTGCTTCACGACAACACGGCCTACTCTGTGTGATGAAATAAAGAGTCTAGCCTGAGAAATGGCGTTTTTTTGTAGAGTCAGAGCCCACCTTCTAATTGATGTAAATTGTGTTAATTGGGGGTGTTTAAAGTGTTATATTATCAAAATGGCCTTTTTGTGCCTAGAAGGGTTCAAAACTTACTTTTATAAAGAAT